TCCAAGTGCATTTGCTCTGTTAACAGGCTCCAGGAGTGGTAAGAATTACATAGTAAAAAGAGAATCCAGCAATATGAGTTTTATTTAATCTCATTTTAATTAAATTCCGGGTTCCATCCAAACGTAATGACAGAAAATGAGTAAAACCATTCATCTACTAAGTAGCAAACACATAATTAATCCCTTTCAATATTAAATTATAAAAGTTAAAAATTTTAATAAATATACGTAAACTATAGTTGCTTAAATAAAGTTATAAAAAGAGATGTATTACATAAATTCATAAATACAGTTTGCTAGCAGAGAAGTACAAAGTCACTCTCCTGACAGTCAACTTCTCTTTTGAGAAGTAATTGCAAGAAAAAAATGTAAATAACCTTAAAATTACTAGAATCATGCTCTCCTGTTTGCTTATTGATTGGTTGGTTAATTAAATCACCCTGACTTACATTAGTCCATTTTATATGCTGTTGCACACAAAACAGTATAAATAGTTTTGCAATAAATATGATTAATAATTTAAGACATTCGTCCTTTAAATATAAATAAAACTAGGTTGCATGGTTATAATGTGTGGAGTAGCAAGAACATGATCAATGTTGTTCCTGGCATCAAACGATCATGTAATTACCAACAGGTCACCTTTAGCCAAGTCTTTAGTATCTTAAACTTATTTAGTCATCCTGGATTTTTACATTTCTGCTGAGGAGTATATTTTTGCTGTATTTTGCATAAGCTGTTGATATCTCTGCAAAACCTGCCAGATGCACATCTTCCTCTCTGCCATTCTCGTCCTCTGGACCTGGCTGCAATCCAGCCGCGGGAGCTCCTTGTTCTTGCAGGTGTAACGCGCCGCTCGCTCGATCAGGGTCACACGCAGCTGGTTGACATTCGCATCGACAAACAGAGTTAAGTTCTTACCGCAGATTAACTCTATGTCACCTCGCAGGTTTTGCAAAACGTTGTGGAAAACGTGGAAAACGCAGCAATCTCCATCAAAAGCCGGGCAGTTGGGTATTTCCTTCAGCATGTCTTTGACTTGGGAGCCAGCATTTAGCCATCTCTCAATTTGGGGTGTCACAGAGCTACACGTGTTCTGGAGGGGAGAAAGAGGAGAGAGAAATTCTGAATCTTTTTGGTTTACGTTTTTCCCAGCAGTTGCTGTGCGTTTGAATATCTAGGCACATACACACTTGTCTTTCAGTTGGTGTATGCTTGGGGGGGGGGTGTTATTTTTAAATAGCTATATTAATACCTGTGCTCCTTCTGTTGAGTACGTATCGCACACTTTGGCTGTGACTGTGAAGTACTTCCTATCTCAACAGCCTGCTTGGCTTTGCTTTCAGCTTTTCTAAGTTTTTTTTATTTGGTTTTTTTGAATTTTTTTAGTTTGCTATACAGGCAAAATTTATTCATGGAAGAGATTTGCTTTGACCTGAGCGTATTTTCGCCTGTTTCGGCAGAGTGATTTGAATTTCAGGAATGAATTCAGGGGAAATATTTACAATTATTTTTATCATTATATTCCTGGGAACGTGTTCCCAGGAACTGAAATTTCTCTGAAGCATTAACCCTGGCGTTCAGTGCACTTTTTACCATCTCCAGGGAAAGGGTGGGTGAGCAGGATTTTCGGCAGAAGTGCTCCTGACAGCTGTAGTACTAAGATCAGACTGAAGAGCGAGGCAGTTCTCTCCCTTTGCCAGTGATCTGACTAGTTTCCTCGAAAAAGATGCCTTCTTCAAGCCCAGTGTGACTCAGGAGGCTGAGAAGGAGCAACGCTTTTAGTCTGGAAATGAGCTGAGCAAAATTGCCCAAGCTCTTCTAGGTATTGCTCCAACTCTGCACTAGAGTAATGCAATGCACATTTCCTTGTATGGAATACAGAGAAGAAACTATTTTAGGTTCTAACCCAAATATTTCTTTTCTGATGGTCTAATGGTTTCTTTGTATGGAATACAGAGAAGAAACTGTTTTAGTTTCTAACCCAAATATTTCTTTTCTGATGGTCTCTCTAGTGTTTTATAATAATTCAGCACATTTCTCGACAGAAGTAGATGCAGCAAAAGCAAAATAGTGCACTTACGTAGTTTTTAAACAAGGTGGTTGCTTGCTCTTCTATCACTAATGCTAAGGGCTTTATTCTGGTAGTAAAGTGCTTCTGCCTCTGTCCTGTAGTCATTTTGCTTTCTTCCAAGTTGGCTGTTGGCGCCAAGTTGCCCAAAGAAACAAGTGAACAGAAGAGGAGGATGGCAAACCTGTTGATCTCTGCATTCCAGTGAAGAGGGGAGAGAAAAACAAAAGAAGAATACAATTATTAGTCTCAACCCTCCATGTAGTTTTTGCAAAACGCCCTGTTTTTCTGCTAGATTTCTAAGGTGTATAGACATAAAGTGGCTGAGATGGCAAAGAACATCATCCAATGCAACCTTACAAACATAGTAAGGTTAAGTCACACTCACCTGCTCGGCGTTTCATGGTGGGCTTGGAGAGCAAGCTGCCTTGGCCAGGAGCTGGCTGGATGTTGATATTCAAGCTGCTCGTTGCCTGGAGTGCCGTGGATGTGGACGGCCAAGCTGCATTTAAGTATCATGGAGTTTTGCGTCAGTGGCTTCTCCATGGTGGCTTTTTTTTTTTGTGGGTGGTAGTTTGGGGTTTTTTCTTTTTTGAAAGATTACATCAAAAGTTGGTTCAAATGCGTCTTTGCCGATTATGATCTAGAGGCAGTTTCAAGCTGACACAGATGGTGCCCAGTATCGTGTATTTGACTGGGAGTTGAGGGCGCTTGGCTTAGCTGTCCCATCTAAATCCTTGGGCTCTCCAAAATGTTGGATTCAGAACAAACTCTGTTGTAATTTTTTAAAATGTGGTTGGAGCACACGAGCATGTTAGTGGCCCAAAGCCAGCAGGGTCAGTGTAAGAGCAGGTTAGTGTGGGGACTGGAAAAGCCATGAGGAGCTTGTTTGCAAGGCAGGTAAGGCCTCCAGGTCAACATATGTGTCCTTTTGCTGGATGTCTGCAAGACTCTGTCCCTGGGGTGAGACCCCCTCACATAACCCAGCACAGGATGTCTGGGATCCCACCTCACCACCTCTGTTGCCTGTCTCCCTAACTCCCTGGAGGCTATTTTCCATTTCCAGTAAAAACGCAGGAAATTCTCGTACATACCAAAATGGAAAAATTGCTCCTAGGATTTACAAGTGTGAGGCTGTGATCAAGAGAGGATCCAAGCCACCAGAAAACTTTGAAGGAACAACATCTTGATGTCAAAATAATCACTTTTCTTTTCCACGTGAAATAATCTTGTCCCCGAAAATCAAAAGCTTGGTGTGCGTGTGAACTCTGAAGCACCTCATGCCGGCACCAGGACTGTTCTCTGGGCTGAGCTGATTCCCAAGGACTGAAATGGGAGCGGATGTCTCTGCTGTACCATGTTGCACTCGGGTCTCACCAGCCTGTAACTTCAGGTCTCGTCTGTTTGCTTGAAGCCACAATGATGGAGATTGACAAATGTAGTTCTGCCACGTGCAGCTGAGCGGAGGGATGCAGCATCCCACGAGGATACATTTGCTCTTGCATGACCTGTGTTCCCAAATGCTAAGTAATGCAAAGTAAGAGAATGAGTTACCATGGCTTAGGGCATGAGGGCGCAGCAGGCAGTACGGCTGAGCGCTGGAGAAGAACTAGAAAAGGACAGTTCTGGCAGACACGTATTTTAGCTGAGGGGTTTATTATTATCTGTGGGTAAAATGAAGAGAGAGAGAGATGTTTCTTTATGCAAAGTGTTTCTTAGGAACATCCCCACAAAGAAAATGATGGGTACACATGGCTCCTTTCAGGTAGAAGGGTGATCTTGGAAGGATGCTGGTTTGGAAGCACCAGAAAAGCGGTAACGTGTGGAAGGTGCGTGAACTTTCACAAAGAAGAGAAAACTGGTCAGTGGGCACTGCCAGTCCCCTTCCAGCCTCCCCGAGGGGTACAGCCAGGAAGGACAGACAAGGAATCGCAGCCAAACTTCCTCCGAGAGCAGGGAACATCTCTCTGTGCAGCACTGATGGCAACGGGGCCCAGTTATTTTTGACAGTGATACAAATAATCAAAGCAGCATTCTTACAGCTTGGCTTTTCCGCGAAACGCGATTTGACCACTGGTAACCCTCTTTCAAAGATTTTTAGAAGATTTGACTTCATTTTCTGCTGAACTGAGGACAGCAGTTTGCCTGGTTATTCTACTCCATGGCATGTGCACGCTCTGCACATCCTTTCCTATCTGTACGCAGCTGTGATAAGCTGCTGAGCTGATAAAGGGGCAGATCCGCATCTGTCCTGTAAAACCCAACACGAGTGGAAGTTCAGTTTTCCACCACGTAACCACCAGATGCCGCAGAGCATCTGCTGCGATTCATTTGGTGAAGTTTTGCTGACACAGAGTGCTCTGTAGTCTCCCTAAAATGGAATTTGTAGCCATTGCCTCAACAAGTATCGCAGGAAAAAACAAATAAACCTCAGAACGCAGAGACCTGAATTTGACCTGAGACAGAGCTGTGGCTTTTGTTCATGGGCTCATCTACTTTTTCCAAGGTAAGAGACAGAATTTTTAGCTGTGAACTTTGTTTTCCGATAGCCTGCGCCCTCCGTGTGAGTGAACAGTGAGTGATTTTACAGCTAAGAACATGGCTGCTTCCTCCCCAATACTTGAGTGACACTCAGGATGTAGATAAGTGAAATGGCAAATGCCATGCCACAGGTCCTTGGCTGGGGAACAGGCTGACGCTGCACCCCGCAAAGCTGTGTACAGCCCTGTAGGGCTGCCTCTTCCCCCCTCGCACTGGGAGATCCAGAAAACCAGGGATTTATTTCCAGCCTGGGGAGCTCGGTGCTGTCCTAGGCTCCCTCCACGCTGAGTTTGCTTCCTGGTCTCCAAGGCATCCGCATCCTCACCATCTCCTAGCAACCTGAGTGCGTCCCTCTGAGCCAGGAAATTCCTTGCTGGGCTGGGGCTGGATGGCAACACCGGGCAGCTGCAGTTTCACAGCTGCTTTTCGGGAGCACCTGCGGCACCTGGGTCTGCGAGATTTCCCCTGCGGCCTCGGCAGCTGGGTAGAGGACAAGGGGGGCACAGCCGTGGGATGTGGTCGGGGTCTGCAGGGCTGTCACTGTCTCTCCCTTCTCCCTCTGCAGAACAAGTCTCGCTTCAATGCCCACACAAGCTCCCGCAGAGCCCAAGCGTGGCTGAGGACAGACCCAGCTGGGCAGGAGGAGGCTATGCCAGTAGGCGAGGAGAGTCCCGAGGCACTGGTGGAGCTGCTGAGCCACTGGCAAAGCCCCTGGGCCCCACCGCTGGGCTGCACCCCCCAGGACCAGCACCTGCGGGAAACAGCTGTGCTGACACCTGAGCTCGTCTGTGGCTCCAACATCTTCCAGGTCCTCAGGTCCCTGCGGATCGTTGGCAAGGGAGTAAGCACAGCTGCTGGTACACCTTGGCCATGAGGTGGCTCAGGGACACGTTGGCCAAACCCAGCTCTTTGCAGGTGGAGGAGGTGGACGAGGGTCTGTTGCAGTTACAGCAGTTGGAGGAGCTTGTCCTCAGCGCCAACCACATCAGCAGAATAACCTCGGCCAACTTGCCTCGGACGCTGAAGGTGAGCCAGAGGTGCCTTGCACTGGCGGGATGGGGAAGGAGGTCCTGTCTGGGAACACCTCGAGGGAGTGGCAGGAACACTTTGTTGAACAGCTCATTACAAAGGGTGCTTGTTTTTCCTTCGGTCCTGGGCAGGTCCTGGAGCTCTGCTGCAATGCTGTGGCCGATCTGCAGGACCTGTGTGTTGAGCCTCCTCTGGAACTGCAGCACTTGGGGCTGGGACACAACAGGCTATGCGGCCCTTCACGGGACAAGTTCCTCACTGCGGCCTTCTGGTAAGGCCACAGGCTGAACAAGGGCTCCTGAGAGGGAGCTGGGCAGGTGTGAACAAACGACCTCAGGCCACAGAGGCAGCCCACATTAGGAAATCTCAGCCCTTCAGCAGGGCTCTGTGTCCGCTGCTTGTGCAGAGTGGTCTGTCTCTGTCTGCTGTCTTCTGTCTCACACTCAGAGGTTGTCTTTGCTCTGTGGCCAAGGTGTAGAATGGGCAGATCACCTGGGGAGCTGCCTTGACACCTTGCCGACTGCAGTTTCCATGTCCCTGGGCAGCTTCCTTTTTCCATGCCCTTCCCAAAGCGCCTGCTGGGAACCCGCCCTGGGAAGGATCTCAGGTTTGTGCCGCATCACCAAATGATGCAGTGGGGCAGTTAATGAATGCTGAAGAAACATGTTTTGAGTTGTGGGACAGACTGGCAACAGATCACGTGGCTCAGGAATTTGGAATTGGCTTCTTGAGATTGTACCATTGGATTTCCCAGTTTGACCCAGTTTGTGCGGGGAAACACAATTTTTGTTTCTGCTTTTGGTCCAGGGCCGTAGCTCTCTGTCCTCAGATGGATGCTGTTTGCCTCACCTTCTTCACTGCGTTCTCTCCTTAGGCCAAATCTTGTCTCCCTTGACCTGAGCTTTAACAACCTCACGGATCTGCTGGGGCTGGTCTCCCAGCTGTCCAGTCTGCAGAAGCTCCGTGTCCTGGTGCTCCAAGGGAACCCGCTGGCTCTCATTCCCACTTACAGAGGTTTCCTTGTGGACAGCCTGCCCAAGCTCGCCGTCCTCGATGACATCAACGTAGAGACTGACGAGAGGCATAAGTTCCGCAGTTTGGCGAGGCAGCCAGGTGAGCTTTCTTGAACCTGTCCATACTGCCCTTGTGATTCAGGAGGCCTTTTCATCGTGATTGAGATAGAAGTCCCCAAGGAAAACTCTGGATCTTCTCAAATTGAGATCTTTCTCCATGCCTTTTTACCCCACTAGTACGAGTCCTGATTTCGGTTTTTCACCACATCAGTCAACAGGCAGACAGACCCTGCAGCAGCGTAATTGCAATCAAGGTAGTTTTCGCCTCAGTCAGGTCCAAGGATTGCAAGAATAACTTATTCCTAGCGCTGCCTGGGTGTCATGGCCTGTCCCTGTCTTTGCTTCCTGCTTCTTGTCCCTGCTTCTTTGCTTCCTCAGTACTGTCTGGTTTCAGACCGCGCGTTTCCTTCTTGAGCTGCTGAAAGAGGAACGTTTCCACTGGTGAGGATACTCACATGGGTGTGCGCTGTCAGCACAACCTGCAGTGTGCCACAGCCCCTACTGGGACGAGAGTAGGGAGCTGGGGATACCTGGGGGTGGGAAGCCCCTCGATGGCCCCTTCTCAATGAGTTTATGCGCTGGATGTTCTCCTTGAAGTCTGAAATGTTAAGCAGGCAGACAAAGCAGGCAAGCCAGGAGATGTTTGCGTGGCTTTTGAGTGACCCCATGTGGCAGTGGCTTGTCACAGCGTTAGCGTGGGAGGGGCAGGAGGGATGTCGGGTGGTGGGACACGGCGTCGTGGAGGTTTCTGTTTGCTCTGTGCCTTCCTCTCTTTGGAAGGAGCACTCCACCGCTTCATAGCAAGATTGTTTTCCTTTCAGAGCTGATCAGAAGCGAAGCACAAGTGGTTGTGAGCATTGGGGAGATCAAGGGAGTACCTGATCCCAGCGCTCAGCAGCAGCTGGAGGTTGGTACCGAGGCTCCGGTGATCACCTACAGCTACTGTGTGACATACGAGTTTGCAGAGGAAGAGGAGATCAAGGACGGTAGCAGCACTGAGGTTTGTGCTTAACTGAGATCTTCAAAGCAACAGGCGGTGTCAGGCCACAGCCAGGGGGACTTCACCTCCAGGCTGCAGAGACTGTTTGTAGTGGACCTGGTGTGGGCAGCAGCAGCACTGAGGACAATTCATACGTGGCCACATCTGGCAGGACAAGTGCCTGCTGGCCACATTGCCTGTCCCTCTTGGGGAGCCCAGCAGTACTCTGCACGTGGGAATGCAGAGATCCCTCTCTGGTTCCAGGTTAAAAAAATTCATCAGAGTCCCGTGGTGGCCACCCTGGATGTGGACAGCTCTGCTCAGGACATGGGTGAAACAAAGATCCAGCTGGAGCCTGCAGCCACCGAGGAGCCCAAGACTCACTCTGGTAATGAGGAATTCTAAATCCCCTGTCCCACTGCTCAGGGCAGGTTTATGGCCCTTCCTGGTGTGGTGGCATCAGGATGTCTCTCGCACTCTCGGCTGCAGCTGGGCTGTTACTGGGACTGAGGAATAATGAATTGGCACTAATCGTGTCCCAGGGGTCCTTCTGTCCTGGGGAAGGAAAGGTCTCTCCTCATATCTTTGGGGAGTTTTTTTGTGTCCCTGCACAGCAAAAGTGTTTGTCACTCCTGGAGAGCCCTGGGCAGTCACCATCGACTTCAGGTACCAGAAGGAGCACACTGCCAGGGACCTTGTGGCGCTGAAGTCCTTCCTGGCGGCTGGAACGATTGTCTCGGTAGTGGAAGAGAAGGTGAGCATGAGGCAGAGCTGGATGAAAGGAGAAGTTGCTACTGGGAGGGCCAGCAGTAGTATTGTGTTCTTTCTGGGAGGCAGTCTGGGGTGATGATGACCCCTAGACCGGGATCTTCAGGCATCCCAGCCTCTGCAGCAACAGCTCCTTTCTCCGGGCAGGTGCTTTCATGGCCTGTCAATGCTGATCCAGAAGAAAATGCAGTCAGGAAGGGGAAGGCAAAACAGGAGCTGCAGAAGGATGGTGCCAAGGTAGGATGCTGGGAGAAAATGATGTCCAAACACCATCTGAGCTGCAAAAATAATGATAAGGGAACAAAGGCCTTTCTCTTGGGCCAGTTTGGTCTGTCAGAGAATCTCCCTTCCATCGCAGACCTCTCACCAGCATCCCCCCTTGCTATGGGAAGAAGGCAGCAGTGGTTTTACACCCATCTCCATCTGGATGCAGTGATGGGCACGGGGCTGGGTTGGGGTTGCTTGCTGTTGGATAAAGGGACCCCAACCCTCTGCTGAGGCTTGTACCCTTGCTGGTGCCCTGCAGGGTCCTGTGCCCAGGGACAAGAAGAAAAAGAAGGAGGAAAAGAAAAAAACATGTGAACTCCGCAGCGACCCTCCCATTCGGAAGACCCTGGGCACTGGGAGGGTGACCCTGGAGGCCCTATTGGCCACCCAGGACCTGGTGGCAACTGTGTGTGACTTTGGGGTCCTGATCACCGAGCAACCACTGCAGTCACCAAGTTTGGAGGAGAAGGTAAAGAGTATGTCCCGGGGCAAGGCAGTGAGGCAGGGCTGGGCTTCAGCATATCCTGCCCCGCAGCCGGCTCTGCCCTCACTGGCCTGCGTATCCCTCCCATCCATCCCTCAGTTCTCTCCATAAAGTGAGAAACAGCCCTACCTAACACCATCCATCTCTGCTGATACTGTTATTTAATGTTGACATTAGCAGTAAGTATTGGTACTTTTTAAGGGCCTGGAAAACAGATGAGTTTATTTTTCTATTTGAGAACATGAAATCGACTGCTGATGCTTCTCTTGGTATGGCAGCATGCACCAGCTGTAGCAACATTTTCTATTTTCTAGATTCTCTTTTCTGAGCAGCCTGCTTCCCCTCACCTCTTTCCTCTGCCCTTCAGATCCCAGTGACGGAACTCAGATGGTGATGGCTGTCACAGGACCGAATGCGGGCAACGAATTTCAACACAGCCTAACTATGGAAACATCTCTCTCCGCAGGACAGGGGAAGCGGCAAAGGCAAGAGCAAAAAAACAAAAACAGAGAGAAAAAGTCAGGCCAAGCGGAAAACCACGGCGTCTGCCAAAGGTGACAGAGACTGGAGCTGGCTGGGCAGAGGGTGGTGTGTGTTAGAGCAAACAGCAGCGGTGCCCAGCACCCTGCCAGCCCTGTGAGTGGGGCACTTACTCACATCCTGAGCTCTGGGCTGTGAATACATCTATTGACTGAAGGGGCTGAAGGTCAGACGCAGGTCCGGACACCCTATTGAATCAGTGTTTGAACAAGCGCTGAGGGTGAGCTGCAGGCTGTCCTGGGAGCGACGTGCACCTCCCAGCTCTGCCTGTCAGGGAAGAAGGGCAAAGCAGATTTTTTGGGTGAGAAATATGCTGCTGCCTGCTTTGTTTGCTGCTAAATCCAGCCGGTGGTGCAGCCGGCGCAGGGAGTGCTGTCTGGGATGCATAATAAGGTCCTCATCCATTTCCAACTTGCATCTCAAAGCACTTTCCAGAAGGGTTTATTGTTCTTTCTGGTTTAGAGATGAGATGTACAGAGAGCCTCATGTGCCCCAGCCAGCCCATGGCAGGGCTGGGAACAGACCCTGGTCTGCTGTTGATCATGAAGAGATTCAGAGTCCTGGAGCTCGCAGGCTGCTCAGCCAGCAGTGTTGCTTAAAATGCTGGAGACAAACCTCACCCTACCTCTTGCAAGTTATTTTTTGAGCAGTCTTGTTTTGACCACAAAAAAGAGCAGTGCCAGCATGTTGGTGGGGTAATGCAAGAGCAGAAGGAAATGGGGGAAGGAAGGGGTGGCAGGCGATGCTGAGGAGCTGCTCGTGAGTCAAGGAGGATGTGGAGCGGGCTGGCTTTCCCCAGCACCGCTCAGAGCTGCCAAAGGAGCCTCCTGTCTCGGCTTTTGCATCACATTTAGTCGCTGATTTAAGAGCATAATTCACCCCCTTTCCCGAGAGCTCTCACCTGCTTTCTGTGTCCTGTCACCCACAGTGAGATCCTCAACTTTGGGGAGGATCTCAGAGCCCTGCAGTACTTGGATTATTGTTCCTCACAAGGAGATGTGTATTTGCAAGGTATGCTCAGACTGTTGCTGAAAACAGCTGAAAGTCGAGCAGTGGGTTTTTTTACTTCCATTCCACCCCAGTGCCCAGGGTCAGTGTGCATGCAGGGGGACTTCCTTTCAGATTTGAGTGAGAATGAAGCCTTTCTGCAGGGGGTTGTGTGGCGGGTGATGGTGCTGCATGCAAAGAAAGCTGTTGCCGATGCGCGAAACCCAGAGTAATCATTAGAGACTCATGCTTAATTTGGTGTCCTCTCACGCCTTGTGCAGGTGGAGGCCACTGAGCGTGTTATTTCAAAAAAGAAGATCAGGCCTAAATATCCGCTTCCCCCACAGCTTGCTACAGCCAGCACCCCCAGCATCCTGTGGCTGTGTGCTCCGCTCTGACTTGTGACTCACAAGCACACCCCGATTGCGGCTGAGGGGGGCAGGTGGGCTGCTCCAAGTGCCGCTGCACACACTGTCTGCGAGTCCTGGCTGCTCCATGAGTCACGAAATCAAACCGTGGTCGTTTAGCACTTGCTCATCACTTGGGTACCACGTACCTCGGAGCTGCAGCAGCACCCAGCCCTCTCTCTGCTGCAGCCGCGTGTCCAGTGAGGCTTCGTAGGGACCGGCGCTCTCACGGCCGGGAGCTGAGGCTGATTTGCATCCTTCGGTTGGCAAATGCACACAAATAATAAGTCCTCTCAGAGGAATTGGGATCCCTTCCAGACAGCTCAAAAAGGAAAGGCAGCGAGCTTTGTCTCGAGCAAACAACTTGCCCAGACATTGAAGGATGTCTTCGGAAGTAGTCTCACGTAGGTCTCATTTCACCCCACACTTGATTTTCCCGGATCCTTGAAATTATTTATTTCTGCATCTTTCTTTTTTACCCCGGGAATTATAGAGGAGTTTAAAAACAAAAAGCAAAAGGTGCAGCCAGATCGATTGCCTGTTTTAAGATGCTTTTAGGGTTTCTTAAAGTCATATTCAAAAATAAAAAAGTCATATTCAAAAATAAAAAATTCATATTCAACTAGATTTCCGCTCAAGGCCCAGAAGTCTGTACTAGTGCAGTGGGGATTCCCCCCCGGCTGTGGGATTTATTCTGTCGAGACAGTGCCAGATGTGACAGATGTACTTCTTTCCACAGGAAAAAGAAAAACCAAAGACTCTGCAGAACCGGAGGAGGGTCAAGGT